ACCAATTTCCTTACTTCCTAATGCCTTACTGCCCTTGATGATATAGGTATAATCATCTTTGTAACTACTAAGTTTCCCCATTCGGATGTTTATCATGTTTGAGTCTAATATCTTCTACTTCATATATAGGTGTGAGATAAACCACACCTGTTGAGTATCTTTTTGCACAGTTAGGCTTAATTTGACATGGTATCAAGGCTTAATCCTATTATGTTTTTTCTGTCACATTTAGGGTCAATTTGTTTCATTTGTATACACTTTCCATAGTCTAGCACGGTTAAATGTTCCACATGTGGTGTTTACCGTTTTTGAGTCAATTACATAAATGTGTGAGCTAGAACTTAGATATCAAGGATCCTTTTGGGGTAGGTTAGACCCAATTTAACATAAATTGATGACTTTGAATTGGATCAATGATTTAAAAAATGCTGGGGTTACGGTGGTGCACCGAATGGCCAGATAAATATTTACTGGCCGTTTAATCCTTTTGCAATCAATAATTAATCTGCATGTGTGCACCACCTGTGAATGATATCATCGTTAAATTAAATCAAAAGAAGAAATCATCCAGTAATGCATAATCTCATTCTGTTTTTGGATACTCGTCTTCTTCTAGGGTATACAATTCATAGTTGATGACTCTGGAGGTTTTTCTGGAGTAGCTGCAGATTTCTTGGAAAGCATTGCGGATGACTATAGTAACCTCCCCGTGTTACTCTATACAGCACGAAGTCCTCAATCATTTATCAACATGAAAAGCCATAAGCTAAACATCTCGCGAAATCTTCATGATGCAATTTCATTTTCAAGACTATCATCCTTGTGTAAATTGATTGTCCCGATTGGCTTGCCGTCATTGAGTAGAAGTAAGAATTGCTGATTATCAATCACAAAAAATAACAGTTTATGCTTTTATTTATTTATTTATTTATTTATTTATTCGTTCGTTCGTTCGTTCGTTCGTTCGTTCGTCCGTCCGTCCGTCCGTCCGTCCGTCCGTCCGTCCGTCCGTCCGTCCGTCCGTCCGTCCGTCCGTCCGTCCGTCCGTCCGTCCGTCCGTCCGTCCGTCCGTCCGTCCGTCCGTCCGTCCGTCCGTCCGTCCGTCCGTCCGTCCGTCCGTCCGTCCGTCCGTCCGTCCGTCCGTCCGTCCGTCCGTCCGTCCGTTCGTTCGTTCGTTCATTCATTTGTTTGTTAGTTCAATTACATTAGCTTTTCTTCTTAATTTATTATGGAGTATTTTATTGTTTGACACTTCCCTTTACAATAGTATTTTGCTTATACACATCTAGGTAAAGCATCCAGGCTTCTCTGCATTAAAGATGAGCAGCCTTACCACACCAGTGCAGTTTATGCATCTGCTTTGCACTCTATGTGTCTTCCATTTAGAATCGAACAGCCAGGGCCCACATCAGAGTCGTCGGTTTATGCTTGTGGTGGGTTAGACATGTACGAAGCCATACACATGTTAGCAGATCAAGCTAGGCAGAATATGGTTTCTACATTAGATGTTGCCATGCCTGCTCCTTCGTTAACTGGTATTGTTATTATCCCAGTTTTAATTTTTAAACTATTAAGCATTTATAATTATTATGCAATAACACCTTGTTGAGATTATTGGTTTTAAATTTCATTTATAGGGAATACGTTTGAGTGGTCTTTGCTTGAGAATTTCCTGCCCTTGACCCCAGAGGTAGCAGAAGACGTTGAAGACCCTTATGTCATGGAATGCATGACCATTCACGGAGTCCTAAGATCTGGTATATTACGAGATATATTATGTTTCAAAATTATAATTCATTTTATGAATTGTCTAAAATTTACTACGTAATTGTTTCTTTATTATATCCTTGTTGGATGTTCATATATAATACTACGTATTCTTTAAAGTAATATGCTTTCCTATGCCCCTTTTATAGGCTGAATAATAAGTAGCTTTTGACTTGCTCTTTTAGTTGAAATCAATATCACCAATCCCTTTTTCTTTAAAAAACCAGTAAGTTCAGCGTTACCAGTCCTTTCCTTTAACCAATAGGTTCAGCATTACCATACGGGCAGTTAATGTATTCTTTTGAGCATATTAGGTTATGTTTGCGTGGCATGGTCTGGAGCGGGGCCGAAATGTACTACTTAAAAGAAGAAGTATTTTTATTTTATTTTAAATCATTGCATAATGGCCCCATCTCACCATGACTATTCACAGGAAAATTTTAACTCTAAAAACACCCATTGCCTTCCAAAAAAAATCCATTGCAAATATGATTGGCCTTAAGTTTCCTAAGGTTACATTGACCAAAAGGTAAAAAATAGATGACAAGTTGACAAACTAAAGCACTCCAGCTCAGCTGGTTGTGAGGTTACCGTGCCTAGTGGGAGGTCTCGAGTTCGAAACCCGCTAGGCACATAAGGGTTTGAAACTCAATGGAGTGAGTTTCAGCCCTATTTACTCTAGGCCCCCAGCCCCCCTCTTCCAGACCCCCCCCCCCCCCCCCGGAGTAAAAAAAAAAACTAAAGCATTGACGCGGGGCAAAAGTATAATAGTCTCTTTGGCCTCCTCTTTTAAGTTGTCATGCTGTTCCTCTGTAGAATTCCCTATATGTGCTAACTTCTTACGGCTTATTTAGGTAACCGAAGAAGATGAGAGAGAGAAATTAATAATATATCTGTAAGGGCATGTTTGGTTTGTGAATTTTGGAGGGGAAAAGAGAGGGGTGATAGCTGTTTTTAAACCATTTCTATGTTTAGATAGTCAGAAATAATGTAAAGATAAAAGACTATATATGATGGATCATAATTAGTTATTGGGCCTACACGCTTCGATGGACCTGGCCTGAGAGCTGTGGTCTCAAAGTCCTGGGCTGAGTGTGGCATGTTGCAGCCTTGACCAAGCAGGAATGGAAAGAGCTTGATCCGCTGTGTAAGCCATGTTTGGCCAACATGCGGAACACATGTTTGATTTGAGGATGGGTTAATTCACTATTTGCCCCCTCTTCGGACTCTGAAGGAACTTTTGCTCTAGTTGTGGGGTACTCATAACCCATCAATGTAGAAATAATTTATTGCATGTAACCACTAGTTATTTCCTGTCTAAAACTAAAAAGTAGAAAACAGATGTGTAAAATATAAATCAATTTTTCCTCTCATTTCCTCTCGAATTCCCCAGCCAATCAAGTTTTAAGCATTTACTTCCATTTTCAGAATGCCGGAGGATACCACCAGCTTCTGAGGTTAAGAATGCAGTTCAGGAAGCATATGAAAAAACAGCAGTGTCGAGACCAAGATTCATGCACCTATCAGCAAGCTGTTGCCCTCTACCCATACCATTGCCTTTTCCCGCTATCTTTGGAAATGCCATCGGCCAAAATGGCGAGTTATTAAAAGCGCCTGATACGGCTTCCGCACCAAGGGGGTCGCTTTCTGTTCATTCCATTCCCTTGGCAGCAAGACTGCGTTCTACCACCGCCATTTTACCCTTTTTAGAAAGGAGACTGGAAAACCTGCGGAAGCTAGGTATCCGGCAAGGAGGGGTAGGGGCCCCAGTTCTTGAGAGTTGGGGTTTTGGGAGAGATGAAGTAGAAGACTTGGGTGAGAAACTGTCACAGATGGTTAATACACTTAATCCTTATTCGGACGCATCCTCTGATTCTGATTAATTGCTCTTGTATTCTAATCAATTGTGTAAAAGAACTAGAGGATTTTTCTGGAGAAACTATAGGGATTTGTTTATTGCCAAAATTTGACTGATTGTATATTTGTATTATAACTTTATAAGTGTAGTTTTTTATGATTAAAGCGAGACCTGGCATAATAGCTAGATCCGGTCTTGTCCCTAACCGGAACAGCGGGGTTAAAGTGGTTTGTATACGTGTGTATTTAGAATTTTAGATTTGCAACAAAAAAAATTGATAAGGACACATAGTTTCGTGAAAATTGAGTGGAGAGGTAGAAGACTTTTTGTGACGCTGATTTTTTTGTTCCTCACCCGTGCTGATTTAAAATAGCACCAGAAAATTGTCCTCTTGCCATGTCTTGCAACTCTTTGTAGTCCTTTTGTATATTCAAATCCAATTTTTCAATTGAAAGTATTTGTTGAATATATAGTGCCTGGATTCCTCTCTTGTTGTATACTAGTATATTTGTATCCGAGTAGTGCATTTTCTAAATTAATGATAAATTTTTAAGTTGTGTTTCTAAGAAGTACTTGCTCCGTCCCTAATAACTTTGCCAAGTTTGACCGGCACGAGGATTAATGAAGTAACAACTGTGGTTGAGGCTTATGTAGAGGAGAGAGAAATGACGAATCACAAATTCTTTACTTAAAAAGGAAAGTGACAAAGTTAGTGGGTCATCTAAAAAAGAAAATTTGTCAAAATTATAAGGGATGGAGGGAGTAGATAATTACTCCTGTTTCAAAATTATGTCACAATTAGCTTTTCAAGTAATTTCTTGAAGTATAACAAAAAAAAGTACTACCTCCATTCCTGAATTGTCTTTCAAATTTTCTTTATTTTTTGTTGTCTCAATACTTTCCCCTTTTCGATAAAGAATTTGTGGTTCAAAGTTTTTTTACACACTTTTACACACATTCCCTTCTTTTCTGTGCAACTCTTGACCATTTGATTCTCACTTTCTCAATTCCCGTGCAAAACTCATTTTGGAACATAATAACTCAGTGACAGAGGGTAATTTTTAAGTTAGTTAGAAGTATTGTACCGCAGAAAAGAGGAAAGTGGGATAATAAGAGTAATTTTAAGTTAGTTGTGAGTGTATTGTACAGTAAGAATGTTGTAGGAAAAAGGAAAGTGATGTAATTATTTCGAAACAGGAGATGTTATTCAGTGACTTTTAAAAGTGAGTTTAGCGTGACTAACGGTTATGAATTATGATTCGAGTCATTTAACCACCAGGTCCCAAAATGGCAAAAACTAGGTCCATTCATATTCAAATGACGTATGTTCTCACTTTTCTCATCTTTCTCCTTTAGTCTTATTTGTGCCGTTCAAATTAATTCTTACTTTGTTAGTTTGTTCACACAACAAATTTCATTTCCATGTGTTTCATCTGAAACATACATGAAAAAACATGAAGCAAGTCGATATACTGCAATAAAATATTCATAATAAAAAAGGTGAACCCTTTTCCACCTTAAAGTTTAGTACAAAGCTGGGGAAATCCAGACTTCAGATTGTCAAAATTCCCAGCATGAACATGGATGTATACTAAAAGTACTTGAATAGTAAAACCACAAAGTAGTTCTCAAGAAAATAAATGAATCTCTCTTTGATCACCAAACCATATAGTAGCAGCCCAAGTATGTCTCTAGAGTCTAGATGTGAGGAGCAGCAAGACTACCACATGTTGAACTGCAGGAAATAAATAGAACGTGCAAAATCCTGTTGAAAACCAAGTAAAACCTACGCAGAAATTGATGAAAAGGTCATCAGAAATATAAAACCGCTTTTCGCAATTTTATGAAGTCAAAATAAATGTGCAAAGCAACAAACCGCATGCACAACACACCATCCATGACACATTCACTCAGTTGAAGCTGAAACCACCCGAAGGAACGGCTACATCTCCACTGGCACCAAACTGGAATCCACCCTGTTGCTCAGATGCAACATCGCCGGGTGGCATAGCATCATCTTCTTCCTCCAACCAATAAGTCTCTAGAATCTTCACCGCCTTCTCATAAATCTCCTGGTTGTCGTGACTTTGAAGGTTCTCTATTTTTTCCAAACCTTCACAATCCTCGATCATTTGAGCATAACCATTTGTGTCGCCCATCAAGCCCATGTTCTTCTCAGCTTCCCCAACCTTCAGAATGTTTTCAAGTCCTTCGAGGCAGACAGTGACAATTCTTGGGTCAGGACAAACGAGAAGATCACACAGTGGCTTGATACAACCTTGACTTACAAGGTACCTAATGTGTTCACGTTGAAAATAACGTTTAAATTGTTTGAGTATATCAAACCTATATTATAAAATATAGTACACGCTAAATTCAGCACACATACTTAATCTGATCATGACTACCCCCAGATGTGGCATTTGAGATAGCCCAAGCAGCTTCTTTTTTAATATCAAACTCTCCATTTTGAAGCAAATCAATAAGAGGTCCAATTATATTAGCTTCTATCACAGCCTGCATTGTAAAAAGAGATTGAAGTGAAGTACTCCATTTAATTTAAAATCTCCCTCCTCCATCCCAAAAAAGGAGTGGATTTGTTAACAGTCATGTAAAGCAAGGGAAGTAGTTTTAGAATATTGAAGTAACCACTGATAATTTGTAAATTGAGTTTGAGTAAAGATAACGACTTGTTCAATACTAAAACATGATTTGTATTTTTTACAGAGGGAGTACTTTTGTATAACACTACAGTATAATAAAGATTAATGTTATTAAGGGGGTGTTTGGATCTAATTCTTAAAACTGCTTCTGCTCCTTGAAGGAGCAGAAGCAGAAGCTGGAGTGTTTGGGTAAAGAAGTGAATCTGGTTCTCAAATTTACTCCTAGAATCAGTTTTTTTAGAAGCTGGGGGTGACCAGCTTCTGAAACTGATTCTGATTCTACTTCTGCTTTAAAAAAGAAGCAGAAGCAGAATCAGTTCCAAACACCCCCTAAGTAATGATTTTGATTTGAAATTGAAAGGGCCATAATAAGTAAAGAAAGACGCAAGTTTTACGGTTTAATTGCTTGCCTGGATCTGGTCCTTGTTGCCAGCAGTAATGTTTGAGATCGTCCAGCAGGCTTCCTTCTTAATACTTTTCTTGTAGGTGCCCGTTAGTAATGTTGTTAGGCAGTACAGCCCACGGTACTCAATAATACACTGAAACAAGACGACACATACAATATCACTATATCACAAGCTCACCATCCTTTAGCCATAAACAATTAATGTTTTATATAATCTAGATTACAAGTCATCCTTTTTAGATTACAAGTTGTTCCTTCAACAAAAAAGAAGGTTGGGAGCATCAGCCTACATTTAAAACCAGCTTATTTTAAAAAATATAGATTATTATAATACTTTTTCAACAGTTTGTTCATATTGTTCAAGTATTTAAAAGCCGTTATACTATGACAATTTTTTCATCTATTTGCCTATTTCTGTATTGCTTTGCTTTGTAAAGGCATTGTTCCAACTAGAATAAGTTAATTAATTTCAGCAAACTTACGTACACAAAAATTGATTCCAACTATAATCAATTACAACAATAATTGATTATACATATAAATATACAATCAATTACTGGAGCTATCCCAATCAAGCTCTAAATTTCAAATTCTCACCCATAATCATCAGAGAATACAATTTCCATATTGTGCAAACCTATTATGTCATACCTGAGTTTGCATGTCATCTCCGGTGACGATATTCCCAACTGCACGCAATGCAGGGACTATAACTGAAGGTGAAGGGTGCCTAAAAATCCAACATATATGAACACCTCAGAAGCCACATATGCTTGCATGAAAATTTCACCTCGGCAAATCAGTTTTACCAAAATATCAGTTGAATCAAAATACTCACTGTAGAAGCTCCACCAATCGTGGACACACTCCAGAATCAATGACAGCTTGAATTTTATCATTAGTACCATCTGACAGATACGAGAGAGCCCAACATGCATCTGTAATAACTTCTTCATCAGTTGATTGTGTAAGTTGCTGAAGTATCGGAAGCGCTGGCCTAGTCTGTATGGAAACACAAGAATACACATTATAAGACCTCTGGAAGTGCATAGCATCACTCAAAATTAACACTTAAGACCTCTGAAAGTGATTATACTGTCATTTATTATTGATGCCGAAGTAGTAACCAAAATAATATCAAGATACCATTATAGACAACACACAACACCATCATTATATCTTTCAAGAGATTATACACACTCACATATGATGCCATAAAAATCATCATGAATATTGTCAAGACAAGTTAAAGCAAGCTTGTAAGTTCTGAAAAATGATGAAAAAAGCAAGTTCTTGTACTAATAGAAAGTTCAATAGTAAGAATCACACGAATCTGCAAGTAATAAAAGGGCGACACTCACTACAGAAATCCCATAAAGTCCCAAGTTTTGTTCTAATGAGTCTGCATTTTTTTGTTCTAATAGAAATCCCACAAAGTCCCAAGAAGTTCTTGTTCTAATGACACCTCATATTCTTGAAATCTTGTCCTATTGAAACTGAAAGTTCTTGTTCCAAAAATGTATCTACAAGTACACAACAGATAAAAAGACCCCCCCCCCCCCCCCACAAAGGCCTACGTTTACTTTAGTTTTCACTTTTCAATGTGTATGTGGAAAGAAGAGCAAGGGACAGGTGATCAGCATACCAGTTCGAAAGGGGGCTGTGGTTTGCCTCTACAGAAATTTGAGAGCGTCCAGGTGGCATTTCTCAGCATAGACAGCTTGGCATTTGCATTCAACTGAGCAGTCAAAGGATTTAGAGCACCCAAGCTTAACACAAGATCCCGACATTTGGGAGAATCACCAGCTACATTCCCCAAAGCCCATACAGCCTACAAACAGTTAACAGTAGCAAATGATACGCAGCACACAAGCAATGCAGAAGGCAAACAAAAACCAACAGAAGACAGTGAAGTGGTCAACTATATTTTCTTCCATATCACACACCTGTTCCCGGACATCATCACTAGAAGAACTGAGAAGCCTCACAAAGATTGGGACGGCTCCAGAATCAATTACCACCCGAGTATGCTCAGATGTTCCTGAAGCAATATTGGTGAGTGCCCATGCTGCCTCAAACTGTTGCCATTTCATGAAAGCAAACCAAACTAATAAGGAATAGTGCTGGAAAAACAAGAACATTAGTGCTGCACAATACACCTAAAATACCTGAAGCTGCGGAAAGTCATCCCTGGCGAGAAATTGAACCAACCGAGGAACTACACCTGCTTGGATCACTTCATCAATTGGAGGACTCCTTTCTAATCAAGACAATAAAACACATCATATAAAAAGTCAGAAATCTAAGGGAGCAAACGGATAGATAATAGCATAAACATTAGCCAACAAATAATGATCACCTATTGAAAGTAATTTTCGAAACTGAGTAGTTGACTCAAGCTGCAAGTTGCCTTCATTGCTTAAAACACCAGCTACCATTGCGGGTAGAGCATCCAGCTGCAAAATCAATACATTTCAAGAGTTTTGCAACCACAACAAATTTGTAAAGCACATCTAATGCACAGTGCAATTTAAATAATTAAGAAGCATACAACAAAAATTAGTAGTAGTATGCAACGAAAGCAGCAATGCAGTAACCAAATCCATATCTTCTACTGAGAATAAAGGTTGTTTTCAATCTACCTTCTTTTCGGAATGGGCAGGAAGATCAAATTGCTGATTTGCTTGAAGCCCTTCACGCCGCTTCTTCTGCAATGACTCCTCCCTTCGATTCTTGCGAATCTCTACCATGGTGTCCTCTCTCCTCCGGCGACCCTCCTCCGCGTCCACGGCAACCTTGTACCGGTTCCGGCGATCCTCAACTCTCGTGTTCGGCCTCAGCGACATCTTCGATAGGCTGAATCCGAAGATACAAATAGAGAATAGTATGGAGTATACTGAAAAAAGGAGGAATGACTGAATGAAGTGTATATAAGCCCACTGTTGAATAGAAGGGGAAAATGGCGGAGGGTTTGACGTTTAGGTTTTTTGAATTGAAATGTGATAAAACAAGAGGTCGCTATATAGGTAGCTAGAGGAGCAGGGTTTTTAAGAGAACGGGCATAGATCGGGAGTTATTTACAGTTTTGGGACCAATTTGAAATTGTGGGCAACGAATAAACTAAGGCATCCTATCCATAGAACTATTTAGGGGTGTATTGTAGAATTGTACTCCCTACCGTATTTATTTACTTGTCTCACTTTCCTTTTTGGAACGTATCAAATTAATTGACTCATTCCTTTTTTGCAAAGAAACTCAATCAAAAGGTAGCTACAGTATTGATACAGTATCACTACAGTACCAAAAATCTCTTACTTTACATATAATCTATAATAATTGTCTTAAATTACGTAAAAATGAAAACGAGCCAAATAAATAGATACGGAGGGAGTATTAAGAATTAGTGACAAAATTTTATAAGTTCATGAATTTTAAAAGTTTATGTGTATTTAATGTAGACTTTTAAACGTCTATAAAAGTCTATACGTTCATACGTATTCAAATTTCCGTTCATTCTTATTGAATTTTAAAATCATGGATTCTCGTGGACTTTTAACTTATTCTTAGTACATTAATTATATGCAATTGTCTATTCTCTTCACCAAAGATTTCCGTGGACTTTTCTAGTTTTCTTCTACTCGTCACAACTACGCATACATCTGATTGCATATTTGACTAATTATTTATCCGGGATCACAAACTGTCCAACAAGTCTCAGTATGCAAGATTTGAACATTAAATTTTCATTTTTTTTCTATCAGTTTACGATAAATAAAGTTGAAGTAGGAGATTCTACATTAATACTGATACACAAGATAAACTTATTTTTTGAATTTTTTCTAAAAAGTGATATTTTATATGTCGTCTTACGAAGAAAAATACGGGGGTGAGATAGATCGGTTCAGTTTTAAAATAAAGGTAGGAAGCATTTGAAGAACCGTTAATCCTACATCGATTCGGTTCTAGAAGTTTTTAGAAGAATCGATAGTATTACTTCGGTGCAATTTTGGTAAGTTGTCAGTTAATCAGTAAGATTTTTTTAACTATTACATAAGAATTTCATTGGTGCAAGTTTATAATGTGTTTCATCCTTGAACCGCTAGCACATAAAAATATAATTTCAAATTACTAAATCTTTAACCGTAAATAAGTATAAAAAATTTAACAAGCTAAAAGTGAAAGAAAAACAACTAATAAGGAGAAAAGCTCGATTGACCTATGCTTGTACCATATATAGCAATGAGTGTAACGCTTGTGTAATGATCAATGTTCTTACTCATTGAGTTGTGTAATAAAACAATTGATTGTACATAGATCGAGATTGTTAAGCATTCTCAAAACTTTAAGTTTCTTTTGAATAAAAATAAATTTGAATTCTTATGCTTCATTTATTCTTGTAGAACTCTGCACTACTGGATGAATTACATTTGTTTCAATTATTTATATATTTAACTTTTTATCATATTACACATAGGAAATTACTCACGGTAGGACTAAAACATATAATTTGTTCCAAAGTATGATCATATGTTTGATTTTTCTTAAACAGGACTAATTATTACTACGTACATTTCTACCCCTAATTTAATTAATTAATATAATTAATTGCCCATATTTTCATTGCATAACCAAGTTCATTTTGTTGGTGGCGGATCAATCTGATGACGATGGCGGCAAACTCCGGTGACGAAGGCAGGCAGGCGAATCGGTAGCGGCGATCTAGGTGAAAATTCTGACGACCGGCAGAGACAGTCCGGATTTAAAAGTCTATGAACTTTTTTAAAGTCTATAAATTTATCCATAAATTTAAAAGTCAGTAGAATTCATTCATAAAAAGTATATGAATTTAAAATCCATGGACTTTTTTAAAAGTTCATGGTTTAAAAAAAGTCTACCACAATCCATATTCAATACACCTCCCTTAGGGATTATTTGGGAAAAGTACGGAAAAGGTACTTGTGGTTGAGTCCGTTTTCAGATAGGGTCATGTGTTTCATTCTTTATCAAAGTGGTTCATCTGTTTGAATTCCGTTATCACAAGAGGGTCACGCCGTTAAAAACGTATGAAAAAGACCATTAAAAGTAACTCCGATTTTCAAAAGTGCCCAAAAAACTAAAAGAAAATTATCGGAAGGTGCGCCTCAATAAGATGACCGCTAGGCCATCTATCTTTTTTGCTTTCAGCCACCCTTGTCACCGGAAAGTCCACCGAAAAAGTGATATTAGCGAAATCATTTTTCAAAAATAATTCAAACATATCTGAAAAATCAAAAGGCGGAGGTAGTTTGGAGGTCATCTTGACGAGGCGCACCTTTCGGTATTTTTATTTTAATTTTCCGAGCACTTTTGAAAATTGGAGTTACTTTTAACGGTCTTTTCCAGACGTTTTTAACGGCGTGACCCTCTTGTGATAACGGAATTCAAACACATGAACCACTTTGATAAAGAATGAAACACATGATCCTATCTGAAAACGGGCCCAACCACAAGTACCTTTTCCGTACTTTTCCCGCATTATTTTGATGATGTGAATGATATTTTTTTAAGATTATAGTTCAAATGTTAAGATTATTTGATAAACAAATCTGGTATCAAATTTTAAATCTGAACTATTTAAAGATTATTTGCGAAACTTTTAGACTTCTCTTCCAATTTTATAGGCATACCCGTAATTAAACGTGAACACCGGCTTGCTCCATTCTCCATACGGAGCGTTAATAACTGCATGCGCCATTCTCCATTAAAATATAGGACTAATAATACAGTGTATACCAGTATACGTAATAATATATAATAAAGTATATGTAGTAATATAGTACTATAGTATTATAAATATATAATAAATATAGTATATGTATGCAGTAATATATATGTATCTGTGGCGTCTTTAGCATTTTGGAGGTTCTAGACAAAAAATATTTACTATGAACAAATCATACGAAGTATTAAAAATGAGATAAAATTGAATAAAATACTACGTAGTATATAAAAAACATAATTTAAGTGCACAATAAAATGTTTTTAATATTCAAAAGGATAAGTTTTTGAATGCAAACATATATAAAAATCACAAAGAAATCAACAAACATAAAAAGCTAAATCTTCTAAATACAATGACAAATCAAATAAAATAGAGAAATTTGTTGATTTAGTCCCGTAACTTATAGCTATACCCGATATCGGTCCTGTAACTTTAGTAACTTGCAAATTACATCTTGTAACTAATAAGTTGGTGCAATTTTGGTCCTTCTCGGCCGGAACTTACTAATTTCGCCGGAAAAAGACACATCACCTGCCAGATGATATATTATTTGGAACTCATTTGTTGACTCAACATTGGCCCATAGGTGGGTCCGCCCATTCAAAAATCTGCAACCTCTTCCTCTTTTGAATTGAGTCTTAGAATTAAGCAATCCTGGAATTATCATTGTTAAACGATGACACATAGGTGGGCCGTGGGTCCGCCCATTAAAAAAATCTGCAACCTTCTGTCTGCATCAAAATAATATGAAGCTTAGGTTACTTTACTTCTATGAACACAAAAATACATGATCAAATGCCCCCAACAAATAGAAGATGGTACTTTTATTAGCAGAACCTAGCTTAAAATTTAAATACATTTTAATTTTCAATCACGTTTATTATACGAATGCTATTCTTAAATTTCTAGTTTATTTAGTAAAATTAGAAGCAAACAAACAAAATTAAAAAGTTGAACTTCTTACTCTGCTTCTAGCGCACACACGAAACCTCCTTCTTGGATTGTTATCAGTCCAAGAAATTAGAAGAGAAACCTTTTTACCACAATCACACTCCATAAACTATTGTCTGATCGAGAGCCGTTACTAGCGAATTTGAAGAATAACTCACTCTCTCGACTTAGTTCAGGAGAAATCTCTGGATAGGGTTATGTGCTCTTTCCCCCTTTTGCATATCCGATAATAGGCTTGGTATGGCTGTGCGCACACTCAACGAAGAGCTTTCATACTATCATTTTTTAACTCCAGCTAAGGGCCAATGTTGAGTCAGCAAATGAGTTCCAAATAATATACCATCTGGCAGGTGATGTGTCTTTTTCCGGTGAAATTAGTAAGTTTTGGCAGAGAAGGACCAAAATTGCACCAACTTGTTAATTACGGGATGTAATATGCAAGTTACTAAAGTTACAGGACCGATATCGGGTATAGCTATAAGTTACGGGACTAAATCAACAAATTTCTCAATAAAATAACTACTTTACTAATACTAATGCCATCAAATTAATTATTTCATGTATTTATCAATTGTCATCTGATACATACAACATGTCAAATCATTATTGCCCTATAAAATTTAAATATGTAGTACGAAGTAGTAGCTTAGGGATTGATTTGAACTCAATAATTTAGGGATTTTAAAGGCAATTCATGCCTTTACTGCTTTCCTGTGGCTTTACAGTTTCAGACCTTTTATCTTT